GTCATTTTTACCGATTGTGGCAGTGATATTGTTATTATTATTCTCATTACTACTATTGTTATTATTATTACTATTATTATTTAATTTAATCTTATACGTTTTATATGGTGGGATTTATTCCACAATCTGTAGTCCTACATTGGGAGGGATGAAGAGATTGGGAGATTTTGTTTATTTGTACTACCATGTTTGAATATGACTTAAAATGTGGGGACATGTATGTGACTTTTATGTGTATTTTTTTGGAAAATTCAATAAACGCTATAAAAAAAATAGTAGAGCCTCTGAAGGTGCGTTCAGGGACTGCTGGGAAAACAGCCGGAGCTTTTTGGCTGATTGAAGAAAAAGGAACAAAAAGCAGAGTTAGATTCCTCCCCAGGTGGTGCTCAGTGGCCCGGCGGTGGGCGGGGCTTAGGTGGGGCCTCGCAGGTGTCCTGCCCCCCCCCCATAACCTGGTTTAACCCCCGTCTCGGCCCGCAGGCCTTCTCCCAGGTCCTGGGCGTGGCGGCCGAGGCTCTGGCCGGCGGCCTGAACGTCCTGCTGCAGCACACCTCCCAGTTCCTGCACGCCGCCGGAGTCCAGGGTAAGGCCCCGCCCCCACGGCGCCGTGGGGCAGGATGTGGGGTTTTAATATCAAATACATGCAAAATAAACAGGGAATCAACAAAAAAAATAACCTTTTCGTTTGAAATCCATCGACTCTCCATGTTATCGTCCAGTTTCTGATAATTTCTATGAAATCGTTGGAGGTATGACGTGGTTGCGCCGCCAAGCGAGAGGAACTGAAAACGTTTTATATTATATTTATATTATATTTATATTATATAACAGCACAGCGACCACAGAGTTCCAGGAGATCTGCTGACAGAACATTTTCTGTGTGTTGGTTTCCGAATATGATGCGAGGATACGAAGAAATATTCAGATTTAGTCCCACGTGACAGAATAGAACCAATCGGGCTGCTTTTGGTCAAAGCTAACACTTTTCAGAGCTGTTAGCCGTGCTGGCTCATACCAAATTCCCACGAATTTCAAACCCTGAGTTTGGCTTCAAATCTGAGAGAGACGAGTGAACGGCAGGAAACCGGATCGATCCCCACAGTTTAAACCCATCAGACTGGTCCCAAAACCTCCAAAAAACGTCCCAAAAGACACACGTGTCGTTATTTTTAACACCAAACAATATTGTAGCTGAGAATCTTCTATTAGAAATCTGAAAAAAATAAATTATAAATCCACAGAGAACAGGAGAAAGTGAGGCTTAGTTCAATTAAATGGAAATAAATGAGAAATTACGGGGCAAAAACATCTGCTGTTTTTTTTCAGAGATGTTAGCCCTGCTAGCTAACACCAGATTCCCACGAATTTCAAACCCTAATGTCCCGATCCAGCTTTTTTTCACTTCCGATTCGATCCCGATCCCGGCCTATCAGAGCATGTTTTAAAGTTTAAAGTTATTTATCTACTTACTTAGTTGTCAGACTCATGTTGAACAGGGATTTACTCTGATAACAACTTAATGGTTAGGACACAGACCTGTGGGTTAGGAGATGCTAATGCTAATTAGGGATACTAAAATTTTCAACTCGATACCGATACTCAGGAAAATACTCGATACTCGATACCATTTTCGATACCACAAGGATAAAAACAAAGACCCCGAAATTTAACTGAATTTTGACAGGTTAGTGTCTTTCATTTCAAACTGACCTGTTACTTATGTTATCAAGACTGGTGGCCCGTATTAATGACCCTAACCCTAACCCTAATCCAACCCTAACCCTGACCCTAACCCTAACCCTCCACCCTTCATAATTGTGAGAAATAAATATTGTTTGGTTTAACTTGTTTGGACTTATTGTACAAACCTATTTAACATCCACTATTTTAACATAATATTATGGATGGAGTTTAATTAAGTGTTTGAAAGATTAATTTCACTATTTTTAAATTAATGTTTATATTGCCATGAAGCCATTACGATTTTCTTGCCTGGGATCTTGCTATTGGTGACGTAATCAAAATGGCCGACTTCATGTGGGCGGACTTGGATATGTACTTGATCAAATTTAGCATGTTATTATTAGCCATTGGCCGCAGCTAGCAGTTCAAAGATAACGTCTTGTTAATGATCATAAACAACGTAAATAATAACATAAATAAATCGGTGGTATCGATACTTTTTAAAATGAGTATCGTATCCAGATACAACATTTTAGTATCGATACTTTTTAAGTATCGATACTTTTGACAATGCTAATGCTAATACTGTGGGATCGGACAAACCTGGTCCAAAGTCCCATTTCAGGTTCTTCTTGGTCAGACGGAGAGCTTTCAACTCAAACGAACGTGTTCATAGGGCAGGAACGGGCCTCACTGTCCAGCCCAAGTGGACCCACAGGTCTCTGGACCAGTTTAACCCCCCCTCCCTCCCATCTTGTGTCCCATAGCCGGCCTCCCCGTGATAAAAGTGACCCCCGAGGGGCTGATCTTCGTGGGCCAGTGGGTGCTGGTGGCGCTGGCCTGCTATTGGCTGCTGTCCCTGGCCCTGCGGCTGGTGGCGTCCACCCTGCGGCGGGCGGTGTGGCTGCTGAAGCTGGGGGGGGCCCTGGCCTGCTTCGGCCTCATCCTGAGCGACCACCGGGTGGGCACGGAGACCATGGCCGCCCGGCTGGCCGTGCTGGTGTGCGTGTGCGTGCTGCTGGGCGTGGGGGGGGGGGGGGGGGGGGGGGGCCCGGCCCCGGGGCGGCGGCCGACAAAACGGCCCGCCTGGAGGAGCAGGTGGGGGTCCTGGAGAGGCGTTTGAGGGAAATGGAGAGGTGGAGCCGGACCGAAGAGTGAAGCAGCCGGACTCCAGACGCGATGAAGCTTTTTTTTTATATTCATTTTTTTGTATCTGATGTTAATCTTTGAAGCTCCGACCCGGACAAAAGCTGACTTTTTTTCTCCTCGCCTTTCGTCTTCGTGGTCAGATATTTAGATCAGGAAGCTAGGATACGATAAGGAGTGTTAGGCTGAGGGCCCCCCCCTCCCACGTGGCTGGTCTGGAGTGGACAGTAGGGGGCCCGGTGATGGGCGGCTGACCTCTCGGGGGTTGGAGAAAAGTCCAGCTCTGTTGTGGGGCCCCTAGCTTAAAAACCGGTGCCTTTTTTTTTTATTGTTCTTGTTGTTGTTGTTCTGCTGCCTGCCAGCAGGTGGAAGCAGCGAGCTGCAAAAAAAAAATGGCGTCCGTCGTCAGCCAGAGATTGTGCCTTTGTGTCGGAGTGTGTGCTGTTTTTTTTTAATCAGACAATAAAAACCTACAACGTTTCCCAGGATTTTTCTTTCTGAAGACGTTAACGGCTCACAAACCACCCCCCCTCACCCCCCCGTTGCGTTTTCTTCTGGATGGAAGTAAAAGAAGAACACATTTCTGTCCCAGACGTCAAACTCCTTTAATATTCACCGAGCAACAGAGATTTAGACATTTTTAGGCACTAAAACACACACGACGACACACACACGACGTCTACAAGTGAGAAACATCACGAGAGGAAGCGGGACACATTCTGAGGTGGGGGGGGGGGG